GTAGGAATAATTCTCATTGCCTCATGGCTTTAACATGTTTTCCTTGTATCAACTGTGTATTTTAAGAGAGACATCTACTGGCTGAGCCAACAGATTTCGTTGCTGCAGGCATAGTTGAATAATTAGTGTCTGTCCTTTGGCTCAAAAGCATTAGATTCCTTTCCATTTTTTTTCCTTTACACCAGTCTCTGGCATTACACTCCAGTTCATTTTCTTCCTTACACACCTGATGTATTTTCAATATTAAACTTGAATGCTTACTTTTAACTCCCTAATCAGATCAGAAAATGACCTACTCCCTTCTCCAAAATTTCAAGACTTCATTAAAATCCTAAGAAGTAAAAAGATTTTTTAAATGTAATTAAATCTTGTATATAATTATCAGTTTTTTTTAAAAATAGCTAATGAAGAAAAAAACAGCACTGTGGTTCTCCTGATTTACGAAAGAAGACTCTTGCAGGACTACCTAGGAAGTTTTCAATTATTCACATCATTCTGCTGGGAATGAACTCTAGAGGACAGGATAACTACCATTGTTTTGGCTTGCATACAAACTTCATTCAAGGGAAATTAGTGTAACCAAACAAGAGGGATTTTTGTAGCTTAGAAGCCTCTTTTGTGTAAATACACACATGCTTCCATGGATTCAGTCTTGTACTAATGCCAAAAGTATTGGTACAGTAGCTTGCTCACCAGAGCACAAAACAAAGGACATTTGCATAAGATTGAAGTTCATCTGTTAGATTTATTATTTTTGGTATACATTGTATTTTCAGAAAATAAACAGAGTGGTGTTACTAATGCAGTCTAAATAGTTTGAGGGTATGAATTTAAGCAGTAAACCAATGCTGATTTTTTTGCTTTGCTCACACATAATTTTAAGCTTTGAAAAAAGCTATTCACCACTGACGAAAAAAAAAATCCTGATCTTCTAAAATTATGTTTTAATGTCTAAAGAACAGCATGTTGCCTTCATGTTAATAGCAAATGAGTTCACTATGAGTACAATGGTTACCGTAAGAATTAATAATGATCGACCACCAGTAATTGTGATAAATTGCCAGAGTGTTTATTGAAGATTTGGGCAATCTACTTCCAGGACTCTGCCCTCTGTGCTTGTGTAGATATATCTTAATATCCACCACAATTTATAGTAAAGCATTGTTCATGGATTTACCAGAAGAAGCAATGCTGAGTAAACACTAGCCCTAGTTCAATAGCATGCTTACACACATGTCCACATTTTACTGCATGAGCTTTTGCACATTGGTTTCCACTCTGAGCACAAAGAACTCATCACTGCAACCTTTAATGCTTCAGTTAATGTGATAAGGGCATAATAATTTTCTATCTTACCCATATTTTTTCTTTCTCCAAGTGCAGTCAACACCCAATCCTAATTTTAAAAGCCTGTGTGTTATCAGAGGTCTTGTAATTCTTTACTGGATGTCTTTTCTTGAGATCAGAGGTGTGTACTCAATTGTAAATTTATTGTCATTTGTTCAGCTCCAAGATTAAGTAATCTACCAATAGTGAAAATCAGTTTGATCATTTATGTCTTCTGAAACCTGAAATCAGGCAGTGCCATCTTCACTCTGTAATAATTTAATTTCCACATAAGAGTGCTTTATAAAATTGTTTTTGTTTCTTGCCAAAGAGTTCAAATGCTTTTTTCCTTCTTCTTCCCCAGCCTATCATTAACACTGAAAGCTCTTTAACGTCTACACTGTATGACCCTTCTGTAGAAGTGGTGGTCATATTTTGTGTCACTGATGCTCTTGTAGTTTCAGGGGTTTTTCCACCTGGAGACACATATTTGGTCTGTTAAGACTAATTTCTGTCAAGGATGCTGAAGCCTGGATATTTTTGTTTCCATGACTCAATTTTACTGTTTGTTTTTCTTGATTTTAAATATTTAGGTTAAAATGTTCAAAATAATTAAAGGTGGCAACATTTAACTGAGAAAAGTGACTTAAGATACGTCTTCCAAATACACTCACTTCTGAGTATCTGTCATTCCACAAAAATTCTTTCTCTCAGTGTAGAGAGTATTGGTATCCTTTGCTGATACAGACATAAATTCTTCTTATTTATCTAGTATATTATTTTACTTAGTGTTCTTTAATTTGATAGTCATCATAATTTGGGAGAGATGGGAATACCTGGTACAGATCCTGTGTGGAGGTTATGGCATGGCTGAGACATCACTTCTGGGTTTTAAGATTCTTAAAAGATTTTTTAAGACTTCTCAAAATTCTTAAAATTTCCCTTACTTGTCCAGGACATCAAGAGATTTTTTTTTTAAGCTTTTTATTATTATTTTTTAATTATGATTTCTTTTATTATGATCTCTTCAAAAAATTGAAATAAAGTTATAGGTGCAGAAGAGCTCATTGCACTTTATCACTGAAGAGATTATGGACAAGGCTTGCTGCCTCCAGTGGTTTTCTCTCTTCTGCTTGTTTGCAGATGAGAACACCGAGGAAGAGACTGGGATTTCATCTTACTTGGTCTTCCTACGGGTCTGTCAAATGGATTAGCTCACTAATGCTGGTGCTGTTTCATTCTCTTCAATTTTATGGCAAGTTCACATCAGAGTAGTAAGACTCGGAGACCACCCAGTGGGCTGTGCTGTGGCGCTGAGGCTGTTTTGTGGCCCATGTGCATGTTCTGTACTAGGAGAACAGAACAAAGTAGCACCAGTCTTAGAACATTTGGGTTTTTGCCCTGCTCTTTCAAACTAGGGTGCAGGTCTGAATAGCTGCTGTGCAAACCGCTTGTGTCTCTTTGCCCCAGAGGTATGGTCGCTGCACAGGCAGAGCAGTTGTGAAGTATTGTGCAAGGATTGCCACTTAGTGGTTGAAAAGTTTTCCTGTATGGAAACAGGATAGACCTGGTTTGGGATTGCTTTACATTGGTGCATTTAAACTCTGACGAAAGTCCCAGAAAGGCACGTTTTCCCTCCCTGAGCAGATCAAGCCCACCACACCTGCAGTGCATATATCACCTATGTGGTGCTCAAATCAAATTTGTGATCTGCTTGTGCTGCACAGTTCTCTCATCTTATTCTGTGTCTGCAATGGTAACTCAAGCAGATAATGGAAAATAAGCCGTCTCTTTGGGATAGAGATTTTAATTACCTCTCTTGCTCTAGAGAGAGCTATCCTCCCAGGTTAGAGCGGAAAGTATTGGAAGGGCACTCTGGGAAAAATTAGCAAGAGGCTCTTTACCAACCAACGGTTGCAAATCAATAGAGGCTTTCAGCTGTCAGTGCAACCAATCCCTAAACCATGAGCGCAAATATTTACTTCTACCGAAAACAGAGACAATTTACAAAAAAGAGAAACATATTTCCATTCCTTTATTTAGTCATAGAATCAATATAAATGATTTGAGGATGTGGAGAATTCAAAGTGCTCCAGGATAGTACTCACTTGAGTATACAGCTTATTTTCATAGACCAAAGCTTTCACTCTGCAAGGAGGAAAATATCAGCACAGCAGGTCACTCTTGGCATAAACACTTCTGATGTGTATGTGCTCCTTTAACATTTAATTTTAATCAGAATGAACCGATATCTCTCCATAACATTTAGCTTGCTTTCTTTTGTGCAACAGAAAGTGTAAAGCTGTCGATAATTTTTAAAGTACCCATTTCTGTGACACCTGCATGATATTTTTTAATATTTGCTGAATTGATAATGTTCATGGTAGCAGAGTATACTGCGCAATAAACTGCTTTTGTGGCTGATTAAATGCCAAAGTGAAGCGGAGGTATTCAGCAACTGCAAAAGCCGTTTATTTAGTATATGCCAATGCCATGAACATTATTCCTGTTACACAAGATTTGCTATACCCTAATGTACAGAAGTATAAAAGAAATTGTTTCCTTTTCTTGTGAGGGTTGCAATTGCTGTGCTGCTTCAATCTCACACTTCACACTGATATGACATTCGAGAATGTAGCTAGGTTGAGTGGCTTGAGGAAGAAGCTGATTTACACAGTGAATAATTATTTAAAGGAGTTCTTTGTGTAGGAAAAGCATTATGTGGCTGGGTACACTGAACTAAATTAACTGTAGTATGCAAATTCTCCAACTTTGGCCATGTAACTTCCAGTTGGAGGACCTCCCTTTCACTGCTGTGTTTTCCTTTGAGGGTTTTGGCCTGGAAAGATGGCTGTAGTCTTGATTATTGGCTTCACTGGATACTTGCTGAGACATATTTGCCTGTATTGTTGTCCCTTGCTGACCAGTGCCACTAACTGGACGGCTGACAGATAAGAAGCTGCAGCCATTTCCTGACATTCTTTGTGTAACTTTTTTCTCACGATAGAAGTTGGCATGAGCTGTATGTAATCCTGATGTTTGTCCCAAGGGGAAAGGATTTTTTTTTTTTCTTTTTGGTGTTTAGATAGGCTATAAGAGAAGGGTTGCATCCTGGTTAGATGAAATAAGTATCTCATTGACATATAGTTCTTGTGCCATGCTATTCCTTCATGATAACATCACTGTCAGAAAATTCTTGCAGTTTGATTAGATACAAAATGAGAAAAATAATAAATTATTATTTCATTGACTTCTCTCTTAATACATTATATATGTTGCCTACTAGAAATGAAGGGATGTGGTGATTCTGTAGCAGCAAACTGTCATTCTTCTTTCTAATTTCTTTTTTTGCATATTCATTTAATATCATGTCATTGATTTTCTATGGATTATTTCTTTTTCGAAAGTATTTCTTCATGACTTCTCTGACTGAGGAAGGGTTGTAGGCTTTTTAATTCCATTGTCATTCATGTTTGTTGTTACCCTCAGAGATGACAATCACTTAATTTACAGTTCACTCACTGTTCTTTAACTTGTATAGAAGAAGCTGCAGCAGAGAAAGCTGGTATTCCACCCTACAGATTGAACAATGTCTGCAGGATCTTCAAGAGTCGCAGTCTGCACTCTTTCTTTGCAGAAGGTTATAATTTATTGCTACGGAGTAAAAAACTTTT